GATACCATGAGGATTTTGGTGAAGAGAAATTCTTATTAACACAAGGAAATACAACCCTAATATTTATACTGGAGTGGCTGGCATTCCAATCCACTATTCTAAGAAAATAAGAGGAGAATCCCACAAAGTTAGGAATCTCAACAAACTAGGAAAGTAACTAATTAGGAATCAGTCAAGTCAATAACTGATCATATTTATTAGGAAACTAAATAAGAAATCCTAATTTACCAGATTACAAAAATAAACCATTTCCTAATATATATAAACTAATCGGCTCCTTTCTACAGATCCTTACAGATTCCACCAGGTTCAATTTGAATCTAGATGGAAAAACAGTGTGCAAATTAAAAAAGGCCTTGTATGGATTAAAGCAGTCCCCTAAGGCCTAGTTCAGAAGATTCACAAAAGTTATGACAACTATGGGGTATAAGCGGAGCCAAGGTGATCACACTTTCTTTATTAAACACTCAACTTCAGGGGGAGTAACAGTGTTATTGGTGTATGTGGATGATATCATTGTGACTGGTAGTGATCTTAGAGGAAATGAAGTCTTGATGAAGTGCTTAATGAAAGAATTTGAGATAAAGGAGGTTGGAAGATTTAAGTATTTCCTTGGTATTAAAGTTGCCTACTCACGGAATGGGATTTTTATGTCACAGCAAAGGTATGTGCTGGATTTGTTGAAGGAAACTAGTAAATTGGGTTGTAAACCAGCTGAAACACCAATAGATCCCAACCACAAACTTGGTGAAGCACTTGAAGATACAATTGTGGATCGAGGTACTCATTAAAGACTCGTTGGGAGATTGATTTACCTTTCACATACTCGGCCTAATATAGCTTATGCAGTTAGCGTGGTAAGCCAGTTATGCATAACGCAAAGAGGGTTCATCTTCAGGCAGTATACCGGATCCTTGAGTACTTGAAAGGAACACCAGAGAGAAGAATCTTGTTCAAGAAAGGAAAAAGTTGGACACTTGAGGCGTACATTGACGCTAATAATGCAGGATATGTGCTGGACAGGAGGCCAACAACCGGCTATTGTACCTTGCTTGGTGGTAATCTCATAACCTGAAGAAGCAAAAAGCAAAATGTTGTTGCAAGGTCAAGTGCGGAGGTCGAGTTTAGAGCAATGGCATTTGGGGTGTGCGAGCTGTTGTGGATCAAAATCATTCTAGAAGATTTGAAGACCAAGTGGGAAGGAACTATGAGACTCTACTGTGACAATAAATCTGCAATCAACATTGCATATAATCCGGTGCAACATGACCAGACTAAACATATTGAGGTTGACAAGCACTTTATAACGGAGAAGCTGGAGAGTGGCTTGATTTGTACTCCATTTGTAGCTTCTGGGAATCAACTTGCAGATGTGCTGACTAAAGGACTTGCTAATCCAGTGTTTCAGTCAATTATAGGCAAGCTGGGAATGGACAATATTCATTCACCAGCTTAAGGGGGAGTGTGGAAAAAGACATGGATGGTGCAGATATGGAAACCGTGTATTTTCGTAGTTATTTGTACCTAGAATAGAAGATTCTGTTGTTAGAAAAATCCCTGATTTGAAGGGATCTGATTTAGGGTAGTTTCCCATTCCTAGTCAACTGCTATCTATATATTAGTTGTATTATATATATATATATATATATATTCTGATTATGAACAAAATTCCATAATTTTCCCATATTTTGCCACAATTAATTTGATGTGTTCACTAAGCTAGGCCAGCCTAGTGAAATTCCTACTTGATATTTTAAATATCTTCGACGTATGTGAGATCCGGCTAGTTATTTGATACTAGAAAGTCAGATGTTCAACAAAAGTACAAATTGGGATAAATTGTATTGTACTAAATAATATATGACGTAAGCTGATAATATCCTCCAGTATTGATAAGATTTGATACTTGACAGTCTTTTGACTTGACACTATCGATGAAAGTACAAACTCTAACAACTATTACTCATGAAGCAACACAAATATAGTAACAACCAAACAAGAGGTGTCAAAAAAATGTAAGGATAATCAACTCCCTAACTCTCCCAATAAATTTTTCCATCTCAAAACCCACCCAGAAGGTCTTGTTTGGATTAATAGATGGATAATATCTAAATGAAATTGTTATTTTCAAAGGATACTTTAACCGTTTTTTTTTTTTTTTTTTTTTGCGATTTTTAATCTTTTACGATGGAAACATCTCGGATTAACGAAGAACAAGATACACAATACGAGTGATATTCAAGAGATCACCGACTCTTTACAACCAAAAGGCTCCTAAACTCTCGAACCCCAACTTATTTATAGGCTCCCCTACTAACAAACTAACAAATCTAACAAACTAACAAATTCTAGTTATTACTAAAGAAGTTTTCTCAGCAAGACTGTTGAAAGCTTTCTCAACAAGATTCCACTGTAACCCATATCCACGTCAGCAACTAATCACTAACGTTTCTTGGTTCTTATCATTACCCCCACCCCCGTTCACAGGAACCTTGTCCTCAAGGTTCAAGTGACCGCTCCTTGCTCCGCCGTTGATTCCCCCGATTCTGCCTCAACTGTAGCGGCAGCTCCATTCCCATCGTCTTCATCCACCGCAGCGATGATAACCTGCAATTGGGGATTCCTACAGACGTGACCGAACCGCCATTTTTCCTCACACTGGAAACAAAAACCTCTCTCCCTTCGTCGCTGCATCTCAGCGTCTGAAATGTTCCGTTTGAAGCTGTCGTTTTTCCGTGTAGAATGGGAAGGAAGTGTATCAGGATCCTTGTTGACCGACACACTAGAATGAGTAGAGCTGGCACGTGTCATCTCCGTAGCTCCTTTGTTTCTCTCCATCACCTTCGGTGGATTCCCAGCTGGAGCTATTAACAAAGTTGCCTCCACTCACTGATTTTTTTAGCCCAAAAGAGTCCCCGTTGCTGAAAAATCCAGCCCCCTCTCCACTTGTCTTGGGTCGTAATGGCCGCATAACCTGAGCCTGTTCTAAAGCCCAATTTTTTTCCTCAATTTTCTGGGCCAAGTCCATTATTTGGACCAAGGAAGTAGGTCTCATGTTAGGACTCCCGTGAAACTATCACTTTGGAACAATTAGACTAAGAAATATAACAGGAAATCTGGAAATTAACCAGGAGATTGGCCTGGATCCTTTTATTGAATCTTAATGAAGTTGATAACAGGGAAAAACAATTACAATGCTAGAAGTAAAAGATAGAAGGGAATTCAAGGACCCCTCCAAACCTCCACAGACTCTCTTCTTACTTAATTCTCGATGCCCTCTCCTTAGCCTCTCTGGGACTATTTATTTCCATACTCTAACTAACTTCCTTCCCTAAGTCCTACCCTGGCACACAGCCCCATAACCATAACCGTTTCCTAACAAATCGCCCCTTACCCCTGCCTTGGCTCCATGTTACGTAAATCCCCCTTCTGCCCCTGCATATTCTTACTCCTTCTTCTGGCATACACAAACCTGAGGCTCGGAGGTCTAACATCTCACCATACGAACTTCAACCTTAATCTCCTATGCCAATCCATTCGAGAAAGCTCCAAGTAGGAACTCCTCGTCCGCCTCCCTCAAAGGAGCTGAAAGCAACTCAAACTTCTCACGGAACTCCGCCACCGACGAATCCTATCGCAAAGCAATCAAAGCCTCATAATGGTTGCCAGTTTGCGAAGATCAGAACCTCTGCATCACAGATTCCTTGAAGATTGGCCATGAAATATCACCTTATCTGGATTCCATCCACTGGAACCAATTCAGCGCTTTTCCCTCAAGTCCGATAACGGCTAACCCCCCCCGTTCTGCCCCCTCAACGTACCTTCAAAGCCGGAATAACCAGCCATGCGGATCTTCGCCGTTGAAAAGAGGAATCTCAATCCAGCGGAATCTTAACTCTCCACCACTCAGCGCCGGACCGTAGCCGGAACGATTCGCCGCTGTCGTAGCACCGCCTCCATCTCCGCCGTTCGAAGCTGACGCCCTAGCTTGCTCTGCTGGTGGATTCGCGTGGCCTCCTCTCCTCATCCAACCGTTAAGCTCCTTCATATACTCCTTCACAGCTCCGATGTCCTCTGAAAGTTGTCCGACAATTCCTTTGAGTTCTCTGACGTCCAACTTGAGTTCTCCGACGTCTTTCTCAACAAATTCCAATCTCCCCTCCATGTTTCTTTCAACTCTCCTAGCTACCATTCCGGACGAAACTGCTTTGATACCAATTTGATGGAAACCTCTCGAAATAACGAAGAACAAGATACACCACACAGGTGATATTCAAGAGATCACCGACTCTCCTCTCAAGACTCTATACAACCAAAAAGCTCCTAAACTCTCGAGCCCCAACTTATTTATAGGCTCCCCTGCTAACACACTAACAAATCTAACAAACTAACCAATTCCAGTTATTACTAAAGAAGCTTCCTCAGCAAGACTGTTGAAAGCTTTCTCAACAAGATTCCACAGTAACCCATATCCACGTCAGCAACTAATCACTAACGTTTCTTGGTTCTTATCATTTTATTAGCTCACTCTGCAAAATAATAAACTAAGGATGCGTTTGGAACTCGTTCTAAAATGATTTTATTTTTTGTTTGAAAATGAAAATGAAAACGTTTTTAACCTCAAACATAAATCATTTTTGAAAATGTGTTTGATAGTTTTATTAAGAGATTGTTTTCAGTATTAAAAAAGCCATTAATGTCTCTCTCTCTTTCTCTCTACTCCAGAGAGGAGAAAACGGAAACAAAAAATGAAAAACGACTTAAAGTTGTTTTTTATTTCTCTCAATTTACACTAAACTAAAAAATAATTTTCATTTCCGTTTTTTGTCTTTAATTGTGTCAAACTCCGTTTCTCTCCATTTTCATTTTTTCTTTCTCGAAAAACGTGAAAAAACAGAAACAAAAATAACTCCAAACACAACCTAAGTTTTTCTCCTTTTTTTGGTTGAAATTTAACTAGGTGTGTCATATTACTCTTTGTACAGTCAAAAGTCCAGTACCTGACCAGCAAGTGCCAAAGCATCATTAAGCAAAGATATAGCCAACCAAACTTCAAAGCAAATTTGAAAACCAGCCATGCGTATGGGACCCTCTCTAGCTGCCATGGATGTAGCTAGCGTTGTAGTTCCGAGCACTGCTATGGTTCTGCCAACAAGAAGACCACCTGTGGAATACAAGAAAAGTATCTAATGACTTCAGGAAAAGGCATATATAACAAACCTATCTGCAAAGGCATTCAATCATCAATTAGAGAACAAGCAAATTCACAATGAGCCCTGTTATAAGGACTCATCCAATTTTGACACTTGGCTTTATGTCACTTCAAATCCTACTGATTTTCATGCATGCTCTTTGGTATCTATTTCAACATGCTCTTGCATGCATAAAAATAGTCTTCTGAACTAGCACATTTATGCTTTAGATGATCATCAATAGAATTTCTATTAAATGCATAATATGACAAACCAGATGGCTGCAATTAATTTTTTAATGCCCCATCCACCATGAAAGCCCCAGATGTAGGAACACAAAGAACACTTTATGTATTTAACAACAGCCTGGAGTTATAGAAAAAACTACTGGGAGAAGATTAGGCATCGAAAGAAATAATTCAAACGGTCAAATAAATGCAAAGGTCTATCGCTGTCTTGTTTATATTTAATGTTGGTTTTGCACCAGTTGCCCGGATGATACATAGAACCAAACATTTTACCAGATATAGATGTAAGATCAAATGCTAAATCTTTTCCATCCACAAGGTTACATTGCTCAAGTCAGCATTCATCAACCCTTCTATTTGTCATGTCACTTTGGCAAGAGTTTTCTTCAACGTAACCTAAAATCAATGTATCCTTATGTTGTTTGGATCACCAAAAGTTTTTTGTATCTTTCGTACTGGAAGGGCCCTTTACATGAAAGAGATATATAATAGCAACCACCTATAAAACAAAGTCAGCAAATAACATACCAGAAGTAAGATAGCGGGAAATCATTCTCTCATCAATTTTAGCAGGGACGAGTGATATTTTGTCACTCAAGTTCCAAAGAAGTACAAAAGCAATCAAATATCTGGAGAAAAGCATACAAAGGAAATCTCTTAGAAAATAGAGAAAATTTAAAGAGAGACAGCAAGATGTTAAAATATTGATAAAATTAAGTTTTACCACATCATTTGACGTACTCAGAGATCACAGTAGCAATCGCAGCACCACCAATGCCAAGACCAAAACTGAATATCAAAATTGGATCCAATATAGCATTAACCAGGTTGCCAGCCACTGATATTCCACAGAAAAGACGTCAATAAATCTAGTTTACGTTATTTAAAGAAAGGTCCAGGAAAAAGTTCAAACATTGTATATAGGAGATATGGCGGGGATTTGTATGCACACGTGCGAAAAAGGCAGGAGAAGAAGAACAAACTAATCTGGTCAAAAACTCAAAATTGGTTGCAAAAAGCTTACTTATGAAGGCAGTCTCAACATGGTAACTAATACATAACAACTGAATAACAAAACTTAAACAGTGAAACAGACTACAATCAACATGAGCCGTAGTCTACACAACTATGTTTAATATTTTCAACAAACTTTCGAATCAATATCTCTCAACCACAAAAACAACTTTTTAGAATACTTAGGAATGACATTCAGAATACGTGTTGACACTTTACATTCAAAAGTTGGCCGCAACACTTAACAATTAAATAAGTTGCAATGCCATCTAGCTCATAGTAAAGTTCTGTAAGCTTAAAAATTTACAGCTAGATATTCACAAACATGGGAGAGAAAGAGGTTCAGAAATACTTGCCAATTGCATACAAAGGAGTCTTTGTGTCCCTAAATCCACGAAATGTGCCTTGTGCAGCTAGCGCAATGACAATTGGTGGTGCACCAAAGGCCCTTAAGGTAAGAAATTGTTCAGCAGGTTCCCACATCGGGGAATCCTAGATCCAAGAACACAACGTAACTAATTACATGAATACCAAGCCATAGTGTCAATAATATGGTTTAAAAAAAAAACTATACGTCTTAGCAAACAGTTCTAAATTGAAAGCTGATGTGCCAATATAAAGGTTCATCTACTCTAAATGTATTGTTTCCATGAAAAGCAAAAGGTGGTGCATGAATGTAACTGGCTAAGATGACATACAGCTGGTATGCCCATGGTATTCATTAAGAAGCCCGAGCCGAGAGACAGAGCAACAGTTTCAGCGACGCCTATAAAAGCAGCTAGTGATAATGAAGTTGTTACTGAGGGAAGGCACTTCTTGCTTTGGCGATGGCCCTGGAAATCTTTACACGAGCATAAAACGTAAAAGCTTTTGATGACATAAACAAACACGACAAAACAAGGAAACTCAAACAGATAATCCTAAAAACTTACCATCACCAAATTGGGATAAATAACCATCGCCCTTATTAACCAAAGCCTGCTCTTCAGCAACAAAAGAAGTTGTGACGTTGAGCAATGGAACGTTAAAGAACTTTGCGATTAAATTGAAAACCGACACTGACACCCCAACCGCCGCCAATTCAGCAGATCCTACGGAAGATAATTAACAAAACAAAAATAATTTTCTCACATGAACAAAACAAAGGACAACTATATGAGCCACAAATTCTGTACCTATATGACCAACAAAGGCTGTATCAACCAACGACGAAATGGGGTCAGCAACCAGAGATAGTGCAGCAGGCAATGCAATTGACAATATCTCCGACACCAGTCCATCAAACTTAAAAATCCCGTCACTGCAACAACCGAAATCAAATTCACTTCTTCTCTTTAAAAATGTTGTCTTTTCTGGCTTTAAACCCACATAAGAAAAGTGAATGAATCCGTACGAATTCAACAACTAAAAGAGTCCCTTTACTCTTAAACAGAAACTAAACTCAACCTTTTCTGGCGACTAACTTGACATTTATCAAGCATTACTAAGCAAAAAAATTATCTTTCAGGAGGGGGAAGAAAAACAAGGAAAACAAATGTCTATAAAATTAGCTATTTCTGTGAAAATGACGTAACATAAATAATAAGCTTCCAAATCCAAACGACACTGTCTCTATGGCAAAGTACAGATCAAATTCTTAGAACCAAATCCAAAACCACCGATTATGTACGAGCTCTAAGTACAGCAAAGACAATCAATTTCGCAGATTTAAAAAACCACTGATTCTGAGCGGACCTTAAACGACGAACGCGAACCGAAATCGAGTCAAACAAAGACGGTTCAGATGGTGGTTCGTCGCCGGGACTCCCGTTCAGCTCCGGCGAGAAGTCCGGTTCCGATTCCGGCGGCGAACTTTGTAGCGAAGTGGAGGAATTCCTCTGCGGTGATGATTTGCAGTGAGAGGGCCAGAGACGAACCAAGAAGATAGGGTTTCCGACGAGCTTATGCGATTTCGATGGCGGACTGGGACTGGTTTTGGGAGAGTGGAGACAGAGAAGTTGCTGCGAGAGAGCGAACGCCATTGTTGAAATTCGCACGGAGAAAGTGAGTGAATCTATATCGAGACAGAAGGAAAGGGAAAATTGAATCGTTTGGGAGAATCTGTGGAAGGTAATTGACAACCATATATTTTCTTCCGTGTGATTTTATCTCTTCTCTTACACGTTTTAACGAATTTAGCGGCTACATTTCGCGCTTAGCGAAAATATCTCAGTGGCAGAATCTCTCGTGTGGTACTTCTAGCAGTACGGCAGTTGCTGTACTTCTAGCAGTACGGCAGTTGCTGTACTTCCCTTTTCTATTATTACTAGCAGTGTACGCGCGCAAACGCGCGTTGTAGTGAGAGATAATTATGTGATGTAATAAAAGATAATTTTTATCATAAATAAAGCAACAACTTAGGGTTTATTTTTTGAGTGAAAAACTCAAAAAAATACAACTCGAGTTATAATTTTATTTGAGTTCATATTTTTTTAAGTTTAAACTCGAGTTTAAATTCAAGTTCAAGCTCAAGTTTATGACTAAAACTCGAGTTCAAGTTTCTCCTTCAACTCGAGTTCAGAAACTCGAACTCAAATTAATGAACAATATTTTTTATATTCTTAAAAATGTTATAACTTTTTCGTTTTAATTCTGATTGAGATGATTTTTTTTTCTATGCGTTGACAACGAAAAGACGAATAAAACCCGACCCATATACCCTATTAAAATTTTTCATCAGCATTGAGTTTTTATTAAAATACTATCTAAATATAAATTCAAGTTTTGACTCACTCAAACACAAACTCAAAAAGATTTTTATCTCAAACCATAAATCAAATGTACACAACTAAACACAAACTCAAATTACAAGTTCAACTTAAGTTATAACTCAAATTCAACTCAAGAATTATACTCAAGTTAAACTCCCAAAGAACAAACCCTTAAGGTCCCGTTTATTTCGCTGATTCGAGTTTAGAATTTGAGTTTTATTACAGTAAAAAACTCTCAGAAATAGTCACATCTAACTTTTTTATTACAGTAAAAAACTCTCATATAAAATCACATTTCAACTCGAATTAAAAACTCAAATCAGCGAACTAAACGGGCCCTAAATTGACTGCACATAAATGACATTTTGTCATAATTGGAATATATATTTAGGCCCCGTTCATTTCACTGATTTGAGTTTAGAATTCAAGTTTTATTACAGTAAAAAGCTCTCAGAAACAGTCATATCTAATTTTTTGATACAGTAAAAGGCTATAAAGTCACATCTCAACTCAAATTAAAAATTTCAATCAGCGAACTAAACAGACCCTTATAACATATTAAAATGAACAATAAATAATTACATCAATAATTTTATGGTAAAGGATGTACAAAATTCGATATTTGTGCCTATAATTTATTGTAAGTAATATAAAAATATCTACAATAATCACATATTTACAATAAGAGAAATTCATAATTTACAATATTAAATATCATTATATACAATACAAAGTAAATCAATAAGTTAGAAATAGTACATGAATTAAACCTATGAATAAACAATAGATAAAGCGACCAATTTATGTTTGTATTCACATGTCTTCAACTATCTGGTCCATTTATAAACAAGTAAATATGAAATTTCTCATGATAAAAGCTGATTATGTCAATTTCATAAAGAGGAAGGCCCAAACACAAACTAATGATGAGATATAAGTGAACAAATAAGTAATAAGAAAGATTCAATGGGAGGAAGTTGATAAATTATGAATCTGATAATGCTTTTACATACTAATTGTGGCTCATATATTAACTGTTGTCAACAAATGCATGGCAAATCAACTGACTTGTACTTGTATGGCCATTTTATGGCTGCCTATTAGCGGCAACTGCATAAAGGCACAAAAATTAGTCAGATGTTGTATTTGCCATGCAGATTATGACATATGTGTGACACAAAATAAAGGGTCGAAGTAAAGTATAAAGCTGTCCAAAAACTACCCGGTGAATTAAAAGGGTGGAGAAAAACAGCAGTATTTAAAGGACAATGAGGCTGGGCAGAAACTGGCCACACAATGGATAGTAAATGGCGCCTGTGTCAACAGTGAATAATGGGTCTGCCTTTTGTCCAAGTAAAATATAAGAAGCATCTACAGTCAAAGCATCAAATAGCCAATTAATACTCAGATTCCATTTGGGTCAAGGTCATTTAGAAGGCTGAGGCTAAAAACAATGGGAAAAAACGAAAGCATATAGAACAAAAACATATAGGAAAATCGTAGGCCAAGGGAAAAACCCAAAAGGCTTTGTAAAGCAAAGCAAAAAGAAACAAGGAAATAATGGTACAGGCAAAGGGGGGAGAAAAAGGGAAATAATGTGCTCCAAATAGAGGACTTAAAAGAGCAAAAATAGATAGGATAAGAAAGACATATTATATGGAGGAATAGATTTTGAATCAAATACTTAAAACAAAAATATTAAAAGCCAAAAATTAAGAAATGAAAGAGCAACAGTGATATTGTTTGTGTGTTGAAAATCAAAGTTCATTAAATCATGAAACAAATAGAATGGAAAAACCCAGTAAAGAAAAAGATAGAAAATGTGAATTCAACTGAAATAGGCATCTCAAATGCCATAGCCTTAAACTAAAGAAGAGCAAAAGAACAAAGGGAGGGAGTTTAAATTGTTTTAGTCAAAAGTATACAAAAAATTAAAATTCAAATAGGAAAAGTTTATTCATAGCAATTTTTGGATAGATTAAGTCAAATTCAAGAGTCCAAAACTGATTATGATCATCGCTGCCACATGCAAGAAAAGAAGAGAAGATATTGAAAGTGTTTTAGTCCAAATGGATAGGCAAAATCAAGATCCAAATAAGGAGGTTTATTCACAGTAATTTTTGGACATATTAGATAGAACTGAGAGCCCAAAACCAATTGTAATCATCATTGTCACGCACCAAAGGGAATGAAAGATAAAATATGCTAAAGAAAAATAGTTACACATATATATGCGTGACTATAGAAGAAATGACTAAGAAATCAATATGCCATCACTATACAGTAATAAAACATAAAGACGGATAGTCACGACAACAAAAAGAGATTTTTTAAGCACTACAACAGACAATAGGAAGTAGTAGCAGCAAAAGTAACCAATACATTCAATATCAATAATAAATATTAAGAGCATATGGGCAAAAGTCTTCAATAGTACCTGCAACGCTATGAAAATTGTCTTAAACAAGGAATATGGGAGAACCAAACACAGGTGAAAGAGACATAACTTAAAAGACTGAGTAGTAAGTAGACGAAGATGGAACCGGGCAACCAAAAAGGTAAAAATGTTAGAGCAAGTAAAAAAAAGGGGAAAAAAAGATATTCAGATACTTGTAAAGCAAAAAACTACATATAAAATCATAGTCTGAAATCATAATCCACATAAGTAGAAATACATTTTGGGCAATTTCTGAATAAATTACATGGCAGCAAACTGATAAAAATGGATTGCAGCAATGAAAGACAATTATACATGACTAAAATTCGTTGACAATGAAAAGAAATGAACTTTTGTCAGCAATATAAGATGCAATACAAACCAATAGCAATATGACAAATTAATATCTTCAGCATCAACAACGGGCATTAAAAACATATAGACAAAAGTCATTAATATTACCTAAAATATTGCAACACCTGCTTTAAATAGGAAATGTCAGCTAACCAAACAGGAGTGAAAGAGACAGAGGTAAAACAATGGAGCAGAGGTAAAGCACAACAGTAAATGATCAATGATGGAGTGGGTGAGGGAAGATGTCAGATGTAAAACAAAACCGAGGACGCAATTTATACAACGAATTAATATACAGCAGCAAGATCTTCTATATATATAAAGAGGAAGATAACCAATGATAATAGCACATTTAACAGTTGGAAGTCGGTGGAAAAAGAGTGCAAAAAAAATTCCAATTCAAACAAATGATAAAAGAAGTGTAGGACTAAAAGCAAGAAAGAAAAAGGGTAAAAAAATCTCAAGCAATAATCAGTATAGAGAGTAAAAAAGTTTAAAAAAGAGCGAAAAAATACAGGGATTTTTTTTTTATTTTTGGTAAATTTTCTAGAAACTCCAGACAATAAAAGGAAAAAGAATTTCCAATTCATTTATGGCATGTTTACTTATCAGGAGTAAGGAATGGGAATTGAGATTCGGAATCAACTCTATGTTTACTTACCCATTTATATCCTGGATGGGAGTGAAAATGTGTGGATCCCACACTAATTTTGGATTGAGGAATAGGATTGACACTCCCCTCCACCCCCCACCGAATTGCCACTCCCATTCCTGATATTAAATATAAAATTACGAATTTACCCTTAATTTTTCTCCTTTATTTAACTCTCTAGGAGCATTTTTTGTGACATTCTCAGAGTCACTATTATACTGGTCAAACCAGTCATTTGTTAGGAGAAAGTGTTCTTGTAAACTGAGATCAGTATTAGTGTGTGTACTTCTTTAATTTAAAATATAAATTACATAATTATTTTTTAAATAAACCTTATATTTTGAATAGTCCAAGATACGAAATATGATCTTTTAATAACCTCAAATTGCAAGATATAATTTGAAAATTAAAAAAAAAAAGAAAAAGAAAAAAGACCCCCTTGTTTTTTTTTTTTTTACTCTCAATGGTAGGGATATTAAGGACATTCCATGTTTATATATATATATATATATATATATATATTAAATTTGATAAAAAAAATTTGTCAAAATTAAACAAAAATAAATACACACAGCTGATACAAAGATCTGGCAGTTAAAAACTAACCCTATCAATTTTTAGGGACTTTTTATGGTAGGATAGGTGACTTTGTTCGATCCATAAGGTAAATTAATTTAAATTTTAACGGTTGGAAAAGGTAACACAACGTGCCTTATATTTAGAAACGTAATTTTAGTGTACTCTTTTTTTTTTTTTTGAAGAAACATTTGCACATTTTTAGTAAACTTGTTTTTGTTTATCAAATTTTTATCAGAATATTTTAAATTATGAAAATTTTTAAAACAAAATCTTAAGTTGTGGTCATAACTAAAGTTAAAGACGTGAAGGGGTTAAGATTAGTGTCATGGTTGGATCAACGTTGGTGTCAGGATTGGTTAAGCCAGTCGGTAGCAACTGCCTCCGAGGTTGGACTAATAGGCCCGGATGGTACCGAGGTCGGGT